TAACAAGCAGAGATCTGCAGTTCAGTTTAAGTTTACAACCAAAGGAGAGTAGAAGACAAATCAATTCTGTAGGGATGTAGCAAACATTATTTATTCTGAAACATAACAATAGATTAATGATAGAGACCAGCAATTCAATCAAGTTTAAAATAAAAGACCACCCTCATAGGGATATACAGGGTGTAGAAAAGAATATTTATACTAAAACAACAAAGGCACATTATCATGGAACCCTGCAAATGGCAATTAAAGCGTATCTGCCATAGTTTACAGGAGGGATTAGACTGCCCTGCAAGGTCACTGGACAGGTGGTTATCTCATCAACTCAGCTCTCAGTTAACATAAGAAAAAGAGGATCATGGGGGACCAATGGTCACCAATTAGGCATGGTTTGTTATATAGAGGGCGCAAGTAGCTACAAGTAGTGTAGTGGGCCTTTAAGTCAAGTTTAGAACCAAAGAAGACTAGGGATTTAGCAAACATTATTTATTCTGAAAAATAATAAGAGATTAATGATAGAGACCAGCCATTCAATCACGTTTAGAATAAAAGATGCACATGTCTTTGTAGGGATATAGAAAAGAATATTTATTCTAAAAACACAACAATAGCCCCTTATAATGGAACCCTGTAAATGGCAATCAAGTCGAGTATAAAACCAAAGAAGACCACTCATGTCTCTGCCCATCAGAAAAAGCACACACTATTTATCCCAAAACATAACACAGCAACCCCAAACCATTCTGAGATTTTTTTATGATGGGCTCTTCCATAGAAGCTTGGCTTTTTACAACCACCCTACTTATAAACATGAGGTCACTGATTGAGTAAAGACTTGACCAAATCTGCATACATCTCTTTACCAATACTCTATCCATCCATTCATTCTCTATTTGTCTGGCAAGATGGAGTTCAATAAAGGGGCGTGTTTACTCTTGGTCAATTTTTAGCCTGAGTTCAAGCCAAAAGGGGATTCTTCTAATATGCTCATGATGAGGTTCGAAAGGAAAAATACAAGGCAATTTTTTCGTCTGCTAGAATTAATGTACAATCGTATAGAACCAGCTCCTTAATACCCAATGTGTACTATCAACAGATCTACATGTACATCTGTTTTCAATGAACAAAGAAAATGATAAATCATCTTTGATTTCAAATCGATGTATATTGGAATTATAATTTGTATTCTATATTAAGTAGAGCCTTTATTTTTGTTATTTAGGTTACTTTCTGTGGGTGATTTTTTTTCAAAGCCCTACATGTATATGTTGATATATGTAGGTACAAAAAAAAAAATCATAACAAGATCTCATTTTGATAGAGACAAGCAAAAAACAACAAATATATTAATTTCTTCAGAAAATTGCATTTTATCGGGAAAATCGTACCGTTGTATTTACTTCTAAAAATCCTACGAAATATGATAAAATCGCACTAGTTGGCAGTAGGTAAGAGAAGTAATTTGGAGCCCCCCCCCCCCCCCAAGTATCATAGCCATAAAATAACAAGAGAGAGAGGGGGAGGGGGGAGGGGGAGGGGAGTATCAACACTTTTATGAATCTATAGCGAAAAGCAAACACAATCACATCCTTTTCATTGAACCCATGATATCTCACTCAGTCTGGAACCTAGGCTATCATTTGTCATGTGTGCATGATGATGAGCGATCATAAGAGTGGGTGTAATCGTGTGTTTGTGTGAGTGAGTGAGTGAGGTAAAGCGCCACATGCTCATAATTCAGGTTTTATGCCCTGCTTCAGAATCTAACTGAATAGATGGATGAATGACTTAGTACTTTTAGCAACCCCTCTTTGACTGATTTTACAACTTGACTTAGATTTTTTTTTTTTTTTTGGCCTCCCAATTTTATGAATGAAAATCTATTTGCAAGGAGCATTATAAGCAATGTATTAGTTCGAGGTAAGAGGCTACATGTACATGTACATGCTCACAATTCTATACAGGTATGTCACACTTTAGACTGGTTCTAAAATAGGGATGACTGACTGACTGACTGAATGACTCAGTACATTTATCAGCCCATTTTTTAAGTAAACAATTGATTTTTTTTCTTCCCCATTTCATCAATGAAAATCTATTTTAAGCATTTCGTCATTCACCAACATTGCCGAGTTGCTGAGTGAATTAGCAACAACTTTGAGGAAGGGTTTTTGATGAGGATAAATTGGTAAATTTTCATCTTCACACCCTGGAGGAAAATTAAATATAAAATGGGTCATAGTGTAATTAAGCTATTTACATGTAAATAGAAGAATAATAAAATGTAAGTATTGGAGCCAAAGGAATATGTGTCGGAATAAAATGCACTAAATTCCTTTCACATCATGCAGTCTAAATATGACTGCTTGCCAATGCACATGCTCTATTACCGTTACGGCCTTGATTCTGAAACATTCATTGTTGCCGACCTCATATTTGGGTGCAGAGAAATAGAGCATGAAATTCGCCTATTGAACTTAACATGAACTACCAGTATAGATTACACCAGACTTGTGTACATGTAAGTACTAGCATGTGCATGGACGAGATTAACAAAACAAAATAGATGCAAATCTGAATATTTTGACTACACAAGCTACATTTTTGTACATGTACAGTAGGTCAGTACATATTTGAAAGAGAGACAGGGGGGGGGGGGGTAGAGTAAATGAAAATTGATAAACATTTCATCCTTGTTTTTTTTAAAAATGTTTAACAGTTACAGCTTATGACCCCCCCCCCCCCCCCCCCCCCCACACACACACAAAAAAAACACACATGGAGGGGGGATATTAAAGCAAAAAGCGTTTGTACATGGAGTACTTTGTGTTAATCCCTTCCGAATGGTCAACTTGGGAACTATGCGGACTGGAAATATGACTTGGAGCTAGACGAGAGTATTATAAATTGTGGAAGTTGTGGCAACTGATTTCTCTTTTTAATATATGGTTCATTCTTGATAGATTTATATCCTTAGAACTTCATTGAATCAATTTTAGTCAATTTAATCTGGCATCTTCCTTCACCTGTTTTTCTGTCACATTTAATTATTTATTCAAATTGATTTTCATGCTTTTTACAATTATCATTTTTTGGTTTTTGTTGTTGGGGGGAGGGGGTGTTCTTTTAGGTGGGGTACAAGTGTTTGTTTGTTATTTGTTTGGTCATGATTCGCCTGTGCATGCACAATCATAATTATGTTTATAGGCCTGTTTTGTTATATGTTATACTTTTCAAAATAATGAAGTATTTTGAACATAACATTCTGAGAAGATATAAAGTCTACATTGTACCTATCAAAAATATATGATCTAAAGTTTATCCACATTTTGTATTCAGTACTGTAGAAGTCGATCATTATACATGAAAGCTAATTTTTAAAATCCAACCGTATGGGTAACAGCGTATTTTTATATTGCCAACAAATTATAAATACAAACTACATTTAATTAAAAAACCATGATGACTATTGATGGTAGGTATGCTAATTTTTGCAATCTGTAAAAGCCACCATTTTAGTTTTTGGCATTTTTGTTAAAGAGATAGAAAGAGGGAGAGTGGAGAGGAGAGGGGGAGGGGTGTCTAGCTTAATTTACATTTATGTTATCTGTTGATGTTGCTAACAAGTACTTGTAAGGTTTCAAGTTTAGGTCAACTTCAATCTTCAAACAATGCACGATGTACTAGCCTTCTATAACAATTACAAAATGGTCTCCATTGTTGCTAAATAAAGCAGTTGATTGCACCGAGTGTTACCCCACCAAACACACCCACACACACACTTTTTGTTCCAAGACCGACATGAGATGAAAGCCAAAACCCGGCGGCACGAAAAGCCACAGGTAAATACCACAAAGTCAACTTGGTCAATCTTATTCTGAAATGGCCTGGATTAGGCTTAAAAAGTTAGGCAACAGAAAACCGTTAAGAATAGGGGCAATGTTTGCTCGGTGGGGTCGAAACCTTGGCATAAACAAACACAAGCGCCGGGGATAATGGCGCGAGAACACACGAGGCTACGATGGAACTAGCCGACTCATCGAACGAGGCGACGTACGGCGAATCTGCCGCCCCAGCCCCACGACGCCGGGATTCGGATGGCCACGCTTGCAAGCGCGGCGCTAGCATGAACGCGAGGCAGTGAATTTAGGGGCCCGAAGTTGTGGGCGTCGCTTACCCCTTGTTTCTTTTAATAAATTTTGACCTTAAATCTTCTTGATTTTATGGGGATTAGACCACACTAAATTATAAACACATGCATCTCTTTAAAAAAAAAAATTAAAAAATGTCAAACTTACATAGATCCTAGCCTAATGTACAAACGACACGCGACAGTGACTCATGAATTTAATAAAGTTAGAACTGACAATATTCCTAAATTAATTTTAGATTAGAATAACTAATTAGGCCCAGCCCTAGGATGTAGGACTCTTACTTGGAGATCTAACGTTAGACCTAGGCTACAATGTGTAGAATCTCGATGTAGACTTAAAATAAATCACCATTTCATTTCTCAATCCTCATTATGCTCATGACCATCACCATGATTTTTTTCTTATCAGGCATGAGAATCAAAACACTGTTCTAGATCTACACATCATGACATGCTGTTGAATTTGAAGTACAAATGAGCTAAATATAAGACTAAGAGTAAGAGTTAAGTTATAAAAATAAACTTTAACATAAACTTGTAACATCCATCCAAGACTCAAGAGCAGTGAGTTTGAAAAATTGTTTCACATGCAAGTTCCCTGATAACCGATGTATTAAATTGCCGCCACATCGCTGGTTAAACTGGCAGTGGATAACAAACCAAACTTGGGATCAATTTTTAAAATGTGTTAGGGGCCTAGACTTGGTCTTGCCTCTTGGAGGACCCCCAAACCCAGGCATGATGGTGTAAGTTTAAGATCCAACAGAAATTTCGGAAGCGAGTGGATATTTGATTAAAATGAAAATGAATAATTCTATCCTGCTATCTTCTGAAGAAAGTAACTTACCCCTCTCATCACATCTTCATCAACATCTTGCTCCGGTTCGGCCCAGTCAACCATAATCTGATGACCCCAAAGCTGGATACGACCTGGGATGAGCTTGCGTCTCGCCATGGCAGCCGCCCGGTGATTCTCGTATTCAACGAAGGCAAATCCACGATTTTTGGCCTTGTCATTGATGGATGGGTAGACGATCACGTCGACGACTTGCTCTGTCACTTTGGCCATCTCGGCAAGGATTTCTTCTTGCTTCTTGTTCTTTGGGATGCCGCCAACGAAGAGCCGGCAATTATCGACGGATGGGCAAACTCCCAGATATCGCCCCTTTCTGATCTCATAATTATTGAGCTGTTTCACAGCTTTCTTTCCGTCTTCCCGGGTGGTGTACATCACAAAAGCATAGCCACGATTGCTGCCGCTAAAGTCCATCATCAAACGTAATTCGTAGATTTTCCCAATTTTCATGAAGACGGGAACAAGCTCATCTTCGAATAAATCTCGAGGGATCTTTCCGACGAAGACCTCGCAACCTCGGCTTGGCTGCGCGCCTTCCCAGCCCGGGGGAGGTCCCCCATATTTCCGCTGCCCATTCTCCTGAACGATGTGGTAGCCGGTACGCTCCATCAAAGTCAGGAGAGCGGCCTCGTTTCGAGCACCAGATATTCCCTCGGGGTCTGACTTGGTTGGTGATCCTTCCATCTTATTCTAATCTTCTGTCGCTACTAAAATCACAATTAGAATGGTTAAAGTTGATTGTGATTTAAAATGATCGTCCAGCCGGGCTGATTATGGCTGAAATTGTGATGATCTGCGGGCCGGGTTGATCCCCAATCAATTATAAGCGCCGATAATATATCCCGCGGTGATATTTTGTCTTATCTACTCAGAGCATGCGCAGAAACTCTGTCGCCTGCTGCATAATTATTCACGTTTTGCATGCACGCGAGAGATTGAGAAAAGCAAACATTGGCACCCTATTTTCAGGTCAAAAGAGGATAAGGTTTACAATAGTTCGTCATTTTATTCCAAGGTATATGTAAGTTTGACGATTTGACCATCAGTGTTGCCGTGACTCAATCAAATTATTCAATTAGCACATTTCTTTTTACATCTACTTGTTCTTACTCAGGGGCTCTCGTTTCGTTTTTCTTTCTTGGTGGCTTCTTCTTCTTCTTCTTCTTCTTCTTCTTCTTCTTCCTTTCCTTCTTAAGTTCTTCTTCTTCTTCTTCTTCTTCTTCTTCTTCTTCTTCTTCTTCTTCTTCTTCTTCTTCTTCTTCTTCTTCTTCCTTCTTAAGTTCTTCTTCTTCTTCTTCTTCTTCTTCTTCTTCTTCTTCTTCTTCTTCTTCTTCTTCATCTTCTTCTTCTTCTTCTTCTCCTTCTTTCTTCTGTTTCTTCGATTACCCAATTAGGACTACATTTTCATGGCAGATTCCTTAAAATTCTTCAAATGGCTTCCACCCGCCCAACCCCTTCATTTGGACCTTTTAATTATGGGCACATAATATGTTCTTATATAGTTCTCCTTTTCCTGTTTTCTTTCTCCCTTTTTTCTTCATTTTTCAAGATTATCAAATGCCATTATTCTTAATATTCCACCAATTATTGTGGCTTAAGACTCGTAATATTCATTTCATTCATACTCTTGAGGTCATGCCTAACATATTATATAGCTAATCAACGCACCGCATATACGCAAGAATTCGGAAATGCCACGTGGGTTTTATTTTAAGTGGACACGCCCCCTAACTCAAGACGTTTAGGCCTACACAAACTTTGCTTTCTGAACCGACTGGGCTCCTTTTTTCCCCCTTTCTTTCTTCTTTAACATTTAAATTAGAGTTTAGAACGAAGATCGAGATAAAGGGAAAAGGAGATATGTTTATATTTACCTAAAAAGGCCCGACGGTATTCATTTTGTATAGGCAAGTATACAACATAAAAAAGCCAAAAATAATATATTTTAGTAATAAGTTGGTGTCGTGCATGTCACAGGGTATTGCAGTTTATATTGACGACAAAGTTGTATTTTTATTTCCCATTTGGTCTGATAAAATTTCCAGGGTTATTAACTCAATACAGTCAATATACTTAAATCTTATATGTGATTTATGAACTTCGGGACAATAGCTTGTATACTTGCCCTTATTTTGAGCAAAATAATTATGCACAACCAACAATGGCCTTTACCCGTTAATAAACAATTTCTTTACATCATACATTAGCGTCTGGGCCATATTTAGTATATGGACATGTTAATTGACAATACCATAAAAACCAGTCAAAGGTGCAAAACTGTATACTGTCAACAGCGGCGTATAGTTGGGAAGGGGATGGGGGGGGGGGGGCATATACTGCGTCTCATCGCGGTAACTGTCTTTACAGATTATAGTTCGCGCCGCGTAACAGAACACTACTAATATTAACAGAATAGATCTTACTCCGCTAATTGGTGTTTTGTATACGGTCTTCCATACCTTTCAAACTTTAATCTGCGATTGTTCATGAGAAAAGGGCCGATATAGAGATTAAAAGAGGGTCCACTTCACCCCTCGAGATTAGGAATCTCTTCCCAAACAGTGGTTTCACAGATTGATGATTAACCAAAAGTTTACCAAACATGTCTTCTTATCTTCATTTGAGTGGAATTTGTCCTGCTGCGATTATGTTTTGTTTGTCTCTGCGAAGATATTGCTGCTGCTTGCTATAAGTATAGTCAAAGTTTGATATAGCCGCGTGTTTTTACTATGCAAGCATGTATTTTATGTGTCTATAAGTAGGCCTACGTTATACAGAATGTAATTATAGATGACTCAATTCCCAAACAGGTAGCCTAGGAGAGATAAAAACGGATTAATTTGTAAATGAATGGACATATCTTGTAAAGTTGATTAGTCACGCGCAGTGAAGTGAGACGAAGTATAGTTATAAACGTATTCACAATGATACACGACAACAAAATAAAACAACCAAAATTCATCATAAACTCCTTGATAACCGCTGAGGGGTATTGTCGTCGGGGGGGGGGGGGGGGGGGGCTGGGCTGACCTGTCTTACGCTGTCTGTAGAGGTGTCGTGGTCGAGTGGTTTGAGCATTTTGACTAGGAATGCAAAGGTCGTGGGTTCGATCCCGACAAGTGACTATATACACGAAAATGTCTTGCAAGAATCGCTGTTTTCACGAAGTGACGGTAGTGAAAAAAAATTGCATTCACTTTGCGTGACGATTTTCCTCACTACCGTCACTTCGTGAAAACAAGGATGTAACTTTGTTTCAGATTCTGGAACACAATCCTGGATTTAACTCATGCTGCAATGATAATTATAAACCTTTAGGTCAGTCAGAAAACCCCCATGACTTTTACAAGCCGATCGCCCGTCTGATTATCAAGACATTTATGATTGGAAATCGAAATTTAAAAAATTCGTTTTCCTAACAGTTTGTATTACACTACAGTCTATTAGGGAAAATGAGTATGGTAAAAACCGGTCACTCAAAGATTTTTTACTTTTTTTGAGTCACTATAATCACAGTCATAATCATTTTTGAAGCGCATTTTTGTTAGGGCTTAATCATTTTTCCATAATTATCACAGACACTGATAACACGTAGGGCCGTGCATCTCAGATTTGCTAAACGATGCCTTTAGTCTATAGTAGCCCTATACATTTGTCATTCCATACCTATTTAGACGAGAAACGTGGACCTGATAGTAATGATGAAAGCCTTTTAGTAATTGCCATAATGCCCTTTTGCACTAAAACTGTGAATATGTAGGATTTTGCTGTTTGAAGTAGTAAATTTATCCACTTCTTGTGCATACAGGAATTAAATATTTCACTGAGGTATTCCTCTATGTATTACCTTTCAACTGGGCAAGACAAAAATTGAAAAATATATCACCCAAACTTAGTTTTGGCGCACTTTGGTTCCTCCCTGGCCCACTGTGCGTCGGTCCTCTGGTTGCTTACTAACAAGCATTTATAATGCTTTCTTTAGAGCAGTCAGGTAAAATAACCACCACTACCTCTACGCATAAGGGCCGCTATTCATAATACGAGAAGAGGGTCGCTATTCATGATTCATATTCGTATTATGAAAAGCGACCCATTCCACATTATGAATAGCGACCCTCTTCACGTATAGTGAACAGCAACCCTCTTCTCGAATTATGAATATGAACACTTATGAATAGCGACCCCTATTTTGTATTATGAACAGCGATCCTCTTCTCATAATTATTAATAGCGACCCTCATTTCGTACTATGAATAGCGGTCCTTATGAATAATGACCCTTTTCTCAATTCATCATTAGCGGTCCTTACGAATCGCGGTCCTTACGAATAGTCGTTCTTATGAATAGCGGTCCGATATGAACAGCGAGCGGACCACATTTGAAAATTATAAGAGGTGAAGAGGCACTTATCAGAGGTGGAAAGGGGTATTTATTTTATTGTACCTGAAAAGGGGCACTTGACCTGAAATGAATAGGGGCACTTGTGAGAATGGAAAAGGGCAAACAGATTTTGATAGGGGCATTCATCAGAAGGGGAAGGGGGCAGAGGTGGTAATATTTTGGGGCACTTATAAGAATGTGGAACAGGCACCTATTACCAATAAGAAGGGGCAGTTATCTGAAGTAAAAACATTCCTATGTATAAAAGGGCACTAAGGGTTACTTAAACGAGTGAGTGGCACTGTGCCCCCTACACCCCCAGCTTCGCCACCTGTGCTCTTATTCTCTCCCTCTCTCCGAGTCTCTCTATTGTGAATGGATTAGTTAGTCCTATTTCGCACCTGACTACATATCAATGAAGGACATCTACATAACATAATATTGTGAACGATATTTCAATTCAATATCCGCTGGAGACATTGAAAATGCCGAATGTGTTCGATCCAACAAATTCCGAAGACGTCGATGACCTTTTGTTTGACACGCCCATCACTTCCTCTTCATATAGAGACCCCTTTCACAAAGCTTTGATCATAATACAATGTAGCGTACCAAGACATTGTTCTCTCACGACCGCACGAGGGCGGCGTCTTTGAAATTTGAACGCGCGTCAACATTGTCGGCGCGTGCCGAGGATTTCTCGGTATTCCACCGCTTTCATGTTAGCGACAAAACCGTGGGAATTTTTACAAGCTGTGATTGAAGCTTTGCATGTTTTTGTCAAGTTAGATGGCTATTTACACGAATTGAAGGACAGCGACATAATATTTATCGTTTGTTTGGATTCAAGCGATTGCGAAGGAAACATGTTTTGCCATCATGAATGAATTCAGGTGTAGCTGGGATCGACACGATACACTGAACGATAGCAAGAATTATTATAAATCATAATCGGGAGAATTCTTTGTATTTGATCTTTAAAATAAGGATTAATAACAATAAATGGTAATTTATACTGCGCCATACACTGCGCTTACAATGTAAAAAATGAAATATTTCTTTTGTCATCATGGCACCATAATCATCATCAGCACCATCATGCATCATCATCAGCAACCAAGACCATCATCATTATCGCCAACACCATCAGCAATACCATCAGCACTCATCATCACATTATCATCATTCCTCATCAATAGTCATGCCATCACCATCACCATCATTACTATCAACATTGTTCATAACCCCATCATCCTCAATCATCATTATTATTATCACCATCAACATCCTCCTCCTAATCAGCCATTACCATCACCACCACTATCCCAACTATTATTTGCCATTATCATCAACATCACCTTTATTATTACCATCATGATTTTCATTATCCTCCTCCTCATTATCATCGACCATTACTGACTTTATCAACGTCATTATTACTATCATATCCACCATCATCATCTTCAGCACCACCATCAACATCCTCCTCATCATCATTATCATAACTACCACCATCTTTATAGTTTATTATCACCATCATGATAATCATTATCCTCAAAATGACCATCATCATCATCCTCCTCATTATCATTCACCAGTATTGACTGTATCAGCACCACCACAATCATCACAATCATCCTCATCGCTAGTGTCATCATCAATCATTACCATCACCACCACTATCGCAACCATTATTCACCATTATCATCATCAACATCATCTTAAGTATCACCATCACGAATATCATTATCGTCCTCATCGTCATTCACCATTATTGACTATATCATCACCATCACCCTCATCATCATCAACATCATACCGAGCATCATCATTATCACTATGACCATAAAAATCACCACTGACCTTTACTATCTTAAATTCAGCGTGAACAAAATTCAATTGTCACAATTTCATTTCATGAAAATACGGCCATTTATTGAACAAAATACAAGTAAAAGGAATGGGTTTTTCGGTTGCCGACATCATTTTCATGAACAAAATTCTTGATTTGTAAAGATATAACGAATATGATACATTACTCTTACTTACTTGTATGCTCTCTCTCTCTCTCTCTTTCATCCCTTGTTCTTTCTCTCTCTCTCTTTCATGCTCTCTCTTTCATCCCTTGTTCTTTCTCTCTCTCTCTCTTTCATCCCTTGTTCTTTCTCTCTCTCTCTCTCTCTCTCTCTCTTTCATCCCTTGTTCTTTCTCTCTCTCTCTTTCATGCTCTCTCTTTCATCCCTTGTTCTTTCTCTCTCTCTCTCTCTCTCTCTCTTTCATCCCTTGTTCTTTCTCTCTCTCTCTTTCATCCCTTGTTCTTTCTCTCTCTCTCTTTCATCCCTTGTTCTCTCTCTCTCTTTCATGCTCTCTCTTTCATCCCTTGTTCTTTCTCTCTCTCTCTCTCTCTCTCTCTTTCATGCTCTCTCTTTCATCCCTTGTTCTTTCTCTCTCTCTCTCTTTTTCGCTCTCTCTCTCTCTCTCCCACTCAATGTAAATTCTGCAATGTCAGATTCACTCATCAAATTAAGTCAATAATCAGTATTACAAAGGTCCAAGTTCTTGGGACTCTCCATGCATTTTAGTGTTGCTGCAAGTCTGCTATTAAAGCCCCACTGCACTAGTTTGGCCAGGAGGGATTAGACCTCCCTGCATGGTCACTGACAGGCAATTATCTTGTCAAATCAAGAAAAAGGGGATCATGGGGGGGGGGGGGACCAATGGTCACCGATTAGGCATTGTTTACTATATAGAGGGCGCAAGTAGCTGTAAGTAGTGCAGTGGGGCTTTAATGCTTTTAAAAACCCTTTTCCATAATCAAGCGAAACTAAGTAAAAAGCTTGAAACCTCATTTTAAGGACAGATAAATATTTCACTTCCAATCTAGAGAGGTGTTGTGATCTAGTGGATATGTCAGTGGACCGTAGATCACATGGTTCAAATACCACTGTGGCACTTATGTCCTTTGGGAAGACATTAATCTACATTTGCCATTCTCTACCCAGGTGAAGTAAATGGGTACCAGGTAGGGAGAAATTCCTTGAATGCTTTAGCGACTTATTATGGCAGCTCAGCTACAGCTTGGTAACAAAATACTTTATATTAAGCACAGTAGAGTAAATTTATATAGAAGCTGCACTATATAAATGGACCTATGTGAGCCTCCTATTAATATCATAATTAACTCATTTTAAAACTATCATTCACAGCCAGATGAAAAAATAAATAAGCGAAAATGAAATTGCCATTCCGATCTTTCTTAGTGATCAAATGACATTTCAAAAATAAGTCTTGTACTTTGCGGAAAACATTAAAAGCAGTCTCAATTATGGTAATTGTGTGTTCTGATTATGATGGAATAGCAATCTTCATGACTCAAAGAAAACTTACAAACTCCAAAACAGACCATTTTACACTATAAATAAATCACAAATAGCAACCAAGTTTGGTTGAACAAATGAAATAGCTAAATGATGAGCTAAACAGGGCGACAAACTTGGCCAATGAGAACAAAGTCAGGACTGGCAACTCCAAGACCAACAGCCCATGAGACAAAAATGTCCATGTAGTGGACCTTTAGACAACTTCTCAAAGGTCGATGAGACCAACGTTGTAAGTCTCGTAGGTTGATTCTTTGCAATGTGTCCCATACAACATAGCACATTACAGTCAAACCTGTCTGTTGCGGCCATTCTAGGAAAAACACAAAAAGTAGCAACAGTGGACATGTGGCCCGTTTAGACAGGTTTTTCAAGACACATTTCCTTTTAGAGTGAGGCAATATGGGTGACCAGTCACTATAGACAGGTGGCCAGTGAGACCAATTTGACTGTACTTTATCCAAATGTGAAAATCTCTCTATATGACAAATGGTTATTTCTTGTACCACAAATATTATTCATATCAAGACATTTGTTGATTCTTGGATGAAATAAATTGAAGAAAGACAAACAGTGTATGTCGCACAGGACACATTGTATGCAATTGCCCGGTAGCACATTTGGTTTCATTGAATGTACTTTCCATCAAGCTTGTTGATATTTTACAGATAAAAGTCATCGAGCTATGCAGAGTTTACTCAAAGCCCCTCTGTACTAGTTTGGCCAGGAGGGATTAGACCTCCCATCATGGTCACCGACAGATGATTATCTCATCAAATCAGCTCACAATTAACAGAGGAAACAGGGGATCATGGGGGGCCAATGGTCACTGATTAGGCATTGTTTGCTAAATAGCAAGTAGCTATAAGTAGTGCAGTGGGGCTTTAAATCCTGTTTCTTCCTAAAATCAGAGTTCCCAGCATTTCATGAAAACAGATTTGTCTGAATGTTCCCCGATGTTCGTACAGCAGTCTGGGTCAAAGTTAAGATTTTGGGTAATCGTAGGAGTTTCACCACGAAGCAGTTGTTGCAGGAGCATGGGTTGTACGACAGGTCTCAAGGTGTCATTCAAAAGCGAGATGAACATTCCTCTCTTGGTCTCTCTTGATCATCTCGTACTGCCTCGTGACCTCGTCGACCTTTCGCTGCACAAGACCTGAAACAAAAGAAACCGATAAAATATATGACCTTCTTCATCCATGTTTCAGTGTGGGCTCATCAGTAATGACCCTGCTCTTTCTGAGAGCCTTGCAGTCCTTATTATTGCATTAAAAAACAAGGGTTGCCTTTCTCAGATATTAAAAACAGTATATCCTATATGTTTCAATTCATACCTGTGTATTAAGCATATGTTAAAAAAATAAATTCTTGTAATTCTATTATTGTAAAATTATGTCCTGAAGTATGTTAAAGATAAACTCCAGTTCTGGTAAAAAAAAGAAAAGTAATTCTGACAGAATCAAACGAAACTTACACTGAATGTTCAAGATTACAAATAAATGACACGTGCCAAACAATTTTGGAAGAAAATGTATACTGGCTGAGTAATGAGCATAGAAAGACAAGGAAATCAAGGTAGTACTAGCCCCGACACCATGTATGTTGTCCCATATATAGCTTTCTGTGTACAGTGCTTGTTACTTTACCAAGACTCGGTCAAATTTATTATGATTTTGATGACTCCAGAACCTTGCAGTGCACACCAATACTTATATGCTACATGATCAACCGTTTCTGATCCTTTCCACAACTTTTCTTTCACAATGCAATCGCATTACCAGTACTAAAGTTTATCTTTAAACTTATGTGTATTTTACTTTCTTTCTTGAATTACTTGATGGTCGCATGCCCACAATTATACAATTTTCACACAACTGCGCCAGGAGTGTATGTATATAGGAGGGCCTATATGGGGCTCTCGTAGCAAAGACTGCTGGGGGGCATTTCACAAAACTTGCCATCAGTGACAAATGACAATTTGTGTTATAAGCTACTGAAATCCTTGCTTCTGATTGGTTATCAGCAGATTTGTCACTGATTTTTGTTATTTGTCATTGTAAAAAAGGCTTTGTGAAACGCCCCCGTGGTGTCACTAGCTGGACCTAGTTTGATACCTGTACTGGCTATTGTTGGTTATTGTACAATTTATACAACGACAACAACGAAAGAAGAAACAAAGTTTGGTTTTCATACCTGTGTTCTGATCAATCCATTGTAATGAGTTCATATGAGCATTCAAGATCTTGGCAACTTGGTTGACCTACAGGAAAGAAAGGAAATCAGAAGAATGTATTACATTAATATCAACAGTACTGGTACATCATTGGAACATAGAGAATATGCTAACAATATTACAGGATTAAACCTCTGTACATTCTTATATTTCCCAGATTCGTCTCTCTTCATTGCATGGGAGTTTTGTATACAATCATTGGTATATTGTTTGGGAACCTATATCATACAAGCATTGCTTTTAATAGGTTCCTCATATTCTACGTTACTGCTTATTTTCTGCCATCATTGCTTTTGTCATTATGCTGCTGACCTTTAATGTAAACTGTTATTTTGTGGAATGTGAAACAATATGTAAAATAACATTTAAAAAATCTCTTTCTCTCTCTTCCATTACCCTTTTCCCTTTTTTTTTGTATCTCATACTCTCTATTTTCATACTCTTTCTTTTCTGCTTCATCTCTGTCTTTCACAATCTATATCAATCCCTCTCTCTCTCTCTCTGTCTCACTCACTCACTCACTTACTCACTCTATCTGTCCCTCTCCCTCCCTCCCTCCCTCCCTCTCTCTCTGACAGAAGCAGGGCATGTAAAGCTTAGTCAATCCCTGAGTCAGACATGGTCATATGATCTCTTGTTCTCTCTCTCTCTCTCTCTCTGTCACACAAGCTAGTGTGAACCATAGCTACTTGAGAGAGATAGTTACGTGACTGCAAGTTGCTTCTGATTGGTCAGTCATTTTATGAGGCTCCAAACAGTTCCCTGTCATAGAGGGAACTATTTGGACCAAAAGGATTTAATCTTTGACCTGACATGCACATGTCACAACTATCCCTCTCAAATTGTTATGGTGTGATCATACATAAAAGAAGGGACTTACCGGATCTGTCTGGTCCATGGTTGTATTGGATGTGTTCATGTGATCGATGATCTCTTTCAGATCTTGTACCATTCTCTTCAGCTGTGAGTCTATGTTCTCTGACATCTGGTAACTATCAAGATAATTATGAAAGGACATTGAGCATTACATAGATTAATGACTGTGTTCTCTAATCTCTGATTGCTATCAAGATAATCATGAACGGACATTGAGCATTACATAGATCAATGATTGTGTTCTTAGAAAGCTGATAACTATCAAGATAATTATGAAAGGTCATTGAGCATAATACATAGATTAATGACTGTGTTCTCTAATCTCTGATTGCTATCAAGATAATCATGAACGGACATTGAGCATTACATAGATCAATGATTGAGTTCTCAGATAGCTGATAACTATCAAGATAATTATGAAAGGACATTAAGCATGACATACGGTAGATCAATGATTGTGTTCTCTCATCTTTGATAACTATCAAAATAATTATGAAACAAAAGTGATAGATGCCCAGATAAATGATTGTGATCTCAGGTATCTGATAACTATCAAGATAATTATGAAAGGACATTGAGCATTACATAGATCAATGATTGTATCCTCAGATATCTGATAACTTTCAAGATAATTATGAAAGAACAGTGATAAATGCACAGAGTAATGACTGTGTTCTCAGATCTCTGATAACTATTAAGATAACTATGAATGGACAGTGAACATTACAAAGATCAATGATTGTTCTCAGATAGAATTCAAGAATTAAACCATAGACTTACGTTCTTTCCCTCTCCACGTCTGTATGCTGCCTATAGAGGGAGCCCTCTTGTGTCTTGCAGGCGTCTTCCAGGGGGGACAGGATGTCTTCTAGTTCCCTCTGCTGGGCTACGATGTAGTCACATTCATGCTCGAGTCTGGATCAGAAAAGTAAGTCAGAAATGCATGTTAATTTTAATACAAGAGGGGGGTTCGGCAAGGATGTGTCACGTCTCCAGATCTCTTCAATTACTACACGTGTATCAATGGGATGTCAGCGAACAGATGATTTTGATAAACGCTGACCTGAATGTCTTCGAGATCTCTCTGCTGAGCTACGGTGTAGTCACACTCATGCTGAAATCAGGATCAGAAAAGAAATGAGCAAGAAAACCCTTCACTTTATGTGGGAGCAGGGTATCGTTTCTTGACACCATCATAAAAACAAGTTTGTGGACATCCCATTTGAAATGCGTGTTAATTTCAATACATGTGTTTCAACGGGAGGTCGGCAAACTTGTACTTATGAAAGTTTCATAAAAGGATGCTTAATATCTTTGAGTTCTTTCTGCTGAGCTACTATGTAGTCACAATCATGCTCAAGCCAGGAATTGGAAAAGAAATATGAAGGAAAGCCTTATAAATAAGCATCGTAAATTTACCCTGATTATACGATGCAGTACACTGTCGCAAAATTCAATGACAGTGGGTTCCTAACTCATTTATCTTGTTGACTGCTGAATTCTCTTATTTCCATAGGCTTTATACCAAGACCAGCCGTTTCATGAAAGCAATGGGTTAATTTATATCAAAAAGTATTAGCTACATGGAAAGTATGAAAATCTAAAGCGATAAAATACTCTCACTCGAATAGCTCTGTATTGTACAACTGCTACGTTAGGATATGTGCGAGTAAAAGAAATGATATCTCTTTCTTCGCAGGAAAACTGCAGAAATAATAATAGGAGAGGTAACCAAGAGGAAAAGAAGATACAAGGAAAGAGAAGAGGAAGGTGGAGATGGAGATGGAGAGAGAGAGAGAGAGAAAGAGAGACGGACAGAGGGAGAGACAGACAGAGGGAGAGAGAGAGAGAAAGAGAGAAAGAGAGAGAGAAAGAGAAAGAGAGAGAGAGAGAGAGAAAGAAAAACAGAGAGAGAGAGAGAGAAAGAGAGAGAAGGGGGTATCTTAATCTTACCTCTGCTGGTCTGCTTTCACTTTTTCAAGATCGTTGTGAAGTAATGTGATCTGACAGAGAAGAAAAAAAACAATAATTACCGGTACTTTGGAAAATTAAAGTAATTTTGGCAAAATCAATCAAGAGGTTTAACAATTCATTTTCTTTCACTACGATACTTGCCTAAAATAAATCCCTTTTCATCAAGAGTACTGCACACTCTTTTCTCTTGCAATGCAGCCTCGCCAGAATTTCTTTTTTAAGAGTGCTATGCTTTCCATTCACGAGAGCAGCTTGAAGTACAAAATTCTTATCATAAGTTTATCATTATAACTACTAAATCCATCACTGTAATCATTTATCACCATAGTCATTATGACCATTGTCAATTTTAACAAGATAATTATCATGATAATCAATGTCCTCACCCCTATCATCATAACACATACATGCCAACATTTGAAAATCAGAAATCTGTACAAATTATGCTATTTTAAAAAAAAAGAGGAACAATCCTAACTCTCCTATTCAATACTACAGACAAATTTGTACAGGAAGAGGAACACCTGCATTAAAGCTTATCTGCCGTAGTTTACAGGAGGGATTAGACCGCTCTGCAAGGTCACTGGACAGGTGGTTATCTCATCAACTCAGCTCTCAGTTAACATAAGAAAAAGAGGATCATGGGGGACCAATAGTCACCGATTAGGCATTGTTTGTTATAATAGGGCGCAAGTAGCTACCAGTAGTGCAGCGGGCCTTTAAAATGATAATTATCTTCTCCCAAAAAGAGGAATGTTCCTCTTTAATCTGAACAGTTGGCATGTATGATAACATTAACTTTACCAATCATATCATCATCATCACTTTCCTCCTCTTCCACCCCAGCATCACCTAAATGTCTCCACCATCATCAACATCACCTTCATCACCTTCATCATCATCATCACCACCATCATCATCATCATCATCACCATCACCATCATCATCACCATCATCATCACCATCATCATCACCATCATCATCACCATCATCATCACCATTATCATCACCACCATCACCAGCATTATCATCACCACCATCATCATCACCATTATCATCACCGGCATCACCATCACCAGCATCATCATCACCATTATCATCACCACCATCATCACCAGCATCATCATCACCATTATCATCACCACCATCATCACCAGCATCATCATCACCATTATCATCACCACCATCATCACCAGCATCATCATCACCATTATCATCACCACCATCATCACCAGCATCATCATCACCATCATCATCATCATCACCATCATCACCATCATCATCATCACCATCATCACCATCATCACCATCATCACCATCATCACCATCATCATCATCATCATCATCACCAGCATCATCATCATCATCACGATCATCACCAGCATCATCATCACCATTATCATCACCACCATCATCACCAGCATCATCATCATCATCACTATCATCACCAGCATCATCATCACCATTATCATCACCACCATCATCACCAGCATCATCATCATCATCACTATCATCACCAGCATCATCATCACCATTATCATCACCACCATCATCACCAGCATCATCATCATCATCACTATCATCACCAGCATCATCATCACCATTATCATCACCACCATCATCACCAGCATCATCATCATCATCACTATCATCACCAGCATCATCATCACCATTATCATCACCACCATCATCACCAGCATCATCATCATCATTATCATTATCATCATCATCAACATCACCCTCATCACCTTCATCACCATCATCATCATCATCATCACCACCATCATCACCATCATCATCATCACCATTATCATCATCATCATCATCACCAGCATCATCATCATCATTATCATCACCACCATCATCAACATCACCCTCATCACCTTCATCACCATCATCATCATCATCACCACCATCATCACCAGCATCATCATCACCATTATAATAATAATAATAATAGCTAGTTCTTATATAGCGCTTTTCAAGACCGAAGGCCCTCTCAAAGCGCTTTACAGATATATTATTACCCCGGTCATAGGATTCAGGCTTACCCGCACACAATGTATGCACATTCTCCACTCCCTGGGGAGCATTCCAGCCAGGCTTTTTTTTTACGAGCGCACACTTGCTAATCTAATCACATTAGCTTTCGCATCCTACCGGGTACCCATTTAACACCTGGGTGGAGAGTGGCAAATGTAGATCAATGTCTTGCCAAAGGACATTATCATCACCACCATCATCACCAGCATCATCATCACCATTATCATCACCACCATCATCATCATCATGACCACAATTTTTATCATAACCATCATCATCCCCATCATCACCATCATCATCATCACCATCACCACCATCATCACCAATATCATCCTCACTATCACCATTGTCATCACTATTATCATCATCGACTTCATTATCACCATCCTCCTCCTCCTCCCCTCTGACACCATCTACCCACTTACTTTCCCTCTATTGACGACCAGTGTTCTATCCCAAGCGTTACCATCACAAACATAATCATTATCAACATCTTCGTCATCACAACCATCACATTCATCATCATCACCATCATCACCTTCATCATCATCATCATCACCATCATCACCTTCATCATCACCATCATCACCTTCATCATCACCATCATCATCTTCATCATCATGATCATCATCATCATCATCATCACCTTCATCATCATGATCATCATCATCATCACCATCATCACCTTCATCATCATCATCATCATCATCATCATCACCATCATCACCTTCATCATCATCATCATCATCATCATCATCATCACCACCATCACCTTCATCATCACCATCATCACCTTCATCATCATGATCATCACCTTCATCATCATCATCATCATCATCATCATCATCACCATCATCACCTTCATCATCATTATCATCATCATCATCACCATCATCACCATCATCACCTTCATCACCATCATCATCATCTTCCCCTCCGACACCATCATCCAGTCCTCCCCTCCGACCCCATCCGCCCACTTACTTTCTCTCCATTGACAACCAGTGTTCTATCCCAAGCGTTGACCTGAGCGGCTTGATGAAGGAAGCTCTTCTCCTGCTCCTCCAACTCCACCGTCCATTTATTGATAGACTCCTCAAGCTCCCTGTAAGACATTGTCTCCGCAGGACCGGTAGCGCTACATAAGGGTGAGCGATGGAAATGGGATAAAATATCACATAGGGTTGAGTTACTTAAAGTTGAGTTACTTAAAAGTAAGGTTTAGTTACTTTAAATTAAGGTTGAGTTACTAAAAGATAAGGTTCAGTTTTGGAGAAGGTAAAAATATATTTATCAACATTCTTTATATTTTTCTAATTTTCACACAGGCACACAGAAGAATATCTTGGATAACAATGCTTCTTGAAAGAAAGGGCTTCTCCTGTAGTGCTCTCGTCTTTCAAATACATTTATTCCAAGAAATCATATTTTCTGGACCTTTTTTCCAGTGGGAACACACCAAATTATAAGAGAGACATTGCTCTACACTTACCCAGTAGCTGCTGTAGCTTTGACTCCAAGTGCTGTTTAAAGAAAAAATGAGGACAATTTTACTGAAATTACTAAAATCACCATCATCATCATCATCAACATCATCATCATTGTTGTTGTTGATGTCATCATCATCATTACCAACAAAGTTATCATCATCATCATCATCATCTTCTTCTTTGTTTTCATCATTATTCAGAATCGAGAATCCAAGGCAATGAGAGCTGCATTTTCACTTGCAAAATTTCTTTACATTTTATAAGTAATATCAGAAGCTTAATTTTTATAATATAGTACAGTCAACCTGTCTTAGTGTAACTTCTCCATAGAGGCCACCTGTCGATAGTGACCAAGTATTTTGTCTTCCTTGAGAAATAAATGTGTGTTGTAGAACCTGTCTATAGTGGCCACTTTTTCTGTTTCCCTTGAGTGGCCTTTATAGACAGGTTTGACTGTACTACAACATAAAACTATCAACATACAAAATCTAATATAATTTGGTGATTGGTGCACTTTAAAGCCCCACTGCACTACTTATAGCTACTTGCGCCCTCTATATAGCAAACAATGCCTAATTGGTGCCTGTTGGTCCCCCATGATCCCCTATTTCTTATGTAAATTGAGAGCTGAGTTGATGAGATAGCCACCTGTCAGTGACCTTGCAGGGTGGTCTAATCCCCCATAATCCCTAATCGCTCATTATACCACGTGAATCAAAAAAAAGTTTACACTTAGAAAATTGCTAATTATTTTAAACATCATCTATGAACAGTAAATTATTATACATCTTATGAAAGAGTGTTTTATCCCACATCATTTGGTATCATTTTTGTGTGGTATGTGTTCACGCTTGGATGTACAGGAGGCATTGTTTGCGAGAGTGTAAAAATCGACTTGCCCCAAAGTGATGCATACAGTATGTTGGGATTAGCGGAGTGAGAAAATAAATTGAATGTATCAAATGAACTGCATTGCATTATATGCTTTTTGTTTTTTGCACACACACGCGCGCACAAATGTTTGATGATATTTGATATTCGATATTTGATATGTGTGGCATGATTTTAATTTTGTAAGGGATGTTATTTGGATCTGCAAAGACCAAATTAATACCCAAATCCCAGTTGTTTTATTCAAACATCACATAAGCAACTTTGGCGCAAGTCGATTTTTAAACTCTCGCAAACAATACCTCCTGTTAATTAAAGCGTGAACACATACCACAAAAAATTATACTAAATGATTCAGGATAAAACACTCTTTCATAAGATGTATAATAATTTACTGTTCATAGATGATTTTGAAAATAATTAGCAATTTTCTAGGTGTAAACTTTTTTTGACTCACACTGTAGATCAAAGGTTTGCCTTACCAAGCCCAGCTCCTGTCGTTGTAGCAGTTGCTGGTTTATGCCCCAGTAGACCAAGACCCGATGAGGAGGTAGTTGCAGCACTGGATGCAGGTGTGCCGATAGTTAGACCTGTTCCTGTTGGCTTTATTCCAAGGCCACCTCCAATCTTTAGACCACCTGTGGAAGGAGAAGAAAACAAAGAAAGAAAACAAACTAAGTGCTCAGTTTTGTTAAAGGTTTACATGAATAGGATTATCTTCCTCAAATTGGCAATAATTATTTGTATGTTCCATACTTTGAAGGGACTTGGTAACATTGTTCAGATGAGAGATAGTGATGCTAAGGTAGTGACTTCAATGCTAGATGTACAATTAAAGATACCGGTAATCTGAAAATTTGAGTGAAAACGGACCATTATTCACGGTACAACTTAGGAAACACTGATCTGATCGATTCCTTAATTCTCCCAACTATATTATTACAATTTAATTACATTTTAGGTGAATGGAAATCGTCAAAAAGCAATAAAATGGCTCTACATTCCATTCCAGACATTCAAGTGTTGACAGATTTTTTATAGCCTGTTTTATGACTTTTTTCACGGAAAAACGGTTGGGAAAATTAAAAAATGGTTGGGAGAAATTACTGTTAATCACTGTTAGAGGGTGTCGTACATCGATGCCTTCAAAGAAAAACATAGATATCTTTGTGGTTTGAGAATTTGTTCAGGATTGTTTGCATGTCAGTAGAAGGAATATAATAAGTAACATTTTATACAAAAATTAAGCAATTTTTTTCATCAACCTTCAACAATGTTACCAAGTCACTTGAAAATAAAAATTCAAATGTATTTAAAGTATAACAGTGTGAATGAATATTACCAAAAAAAAATCAACAACAAATTTAAAATTTCTACACAGAAATACTGATAAAAAATGTCACTCTGTGTTGCCAGTTTAGAGACTTAAGTTATTTTTTTTTTTTTTTTTTTTTTTTTTTTTTAAATTCATGAAAGGCAAAGTGTACAGAAATGGACTAAATCTTTCCCAGTGATTTTTGCAAATTCTGCTCATGTAAAATTTGTAATTAAGAGCATTGTGGATCAAAGGATAAAATAAAACGTCAGGTGACACTTAGCTGCTATGGGTTAAAACACAACACCAGGAAAGACAAGACAATAACAAAGTACACTTTTGACCCATTGACTGCTGGATTATCTAGTTCCCATAGACTTAACACAGGGACCACCAGGTTCCAGTAAGCAATGGGTTAAGTGCGTATGAGTGCGTCAAGTAGTCTACTAACAAGTTGCTCTTATGTTAAAACTGGAGTGTATTCAAACTTGCAAATTATCTTTACAGAAGTAATATTTTGAGCTCACATTCTGAGTATAGTAATACAGATTAAAACCATTTTAGGTGATTAATTCACTTAAAGCCCCTCTGTCCTACTTGTAGCTACTTGCTTCCTCTTCATAGAAAACTTCCCCAATCGGTGCCTGTTGGTCCCCCATAATCCTCTTTTTCTTATGTTAGTTGAGAGTGGAGTTACGGTAATGAGATAATGTAGCCACCTGTCAGTGACCTCGCTGTGTGGTCTAAACCCTTCTGGCCCAGTAGTATTGACGGTCTTTAACCCTACGTTAACTGGGGGGGGGTCAATTTGACCCCCCCCTGTAGAAATTTCGCGACTACTCCAAAACCGCGGCAGATATAAAATTTTCCTTTCATGACTTTTTTCTTTCAAGTCTTACGCATCTTTTAAAACAATTTTTTCGAAAATCGGACGTACAGTTAGGGAGTCACGTGACATTTTGTTATTGCATGTCAGCCCGAAAATCGCTAATTTTTGTGATTTGTGTACAAAACATATGGAAATGTCATTTTTCCTAAAAAGAGATAAAACATTGGTTATTTAGTCTTGTTTAAAGTTTGGGTGTTTGTTTTGGGGTCAAAATAGTTGAATTGTAGTTATAAATGAAATAAAACAACAAAAACAATAAAATACATAAGTTGAAAAAACAATGAAATACATAAGAAACTAGATGGAACTTCGACTGCGCGCAGTCGAAATGATGCCTCCGTCATAGAGCAATTTACAAACCAAAACAGAAGAAATTTTTCAAATTCAAGTTCAATTGTAATCCATTAACAGGTTCTCAGAATATTGTGATTACAAGCAATTTCTCATATACATATATGACCCTTTGATCTTTGACCTCATGACCCTAACATCTACTCAGTTCATTGGCTCTGCAAGATGTCCAAAGTTAAATAGTAATCCATCTGTCAGTTCTAATGAGAATGCGTTCACAAGCTATTTTTGCATACATAATGAGCCCATGACCTTTGACCTTTGACCTCATGACCAAAGAATCTACTCGGTTCATTGGCTCTGCAAGATGCATACATGATCTAAGTTTGGCAGGAATCCATCAATCTGTTCTAATGATAATGCGATCACAAGCTATTTTTGCATACATTTAGCCGCATGACCTTTGACCTTGACCTCATGACCCCAAAATCTAATCAGTTCATCGGCTTCGCAAGTAACATACATGACCTAAGTTTGGCAGGAATCCTTCAATCGGTTCTTGAGATAACGCGATCACGAGCAGTTTTTGCATACATAATGAGCCCTGTGACCTTTGACCTTTGACCTCGTGACCCCAAAATCTATTCAGTTCATCGGCTCTGCAAGATACATACATGACCAAAGTTTGGCAGGAATCCATCAATCGGTTCTTTGGATAACGCGATCACGAGCTGTTTTTGCATACATAATGAGCCCTGTGACCTTTGACCTTTGACCTCGTGACCCCAAAATCTAATCAGTTCATCGGCTCTGCAGGATACATACATGACCAAAGTTTGGCAGGAATCCATCAATCGGTTCTTTGGATAACGCGATCACGAGCTGTTTTTGCATACATAATGAGCCCTGTGACCTTTGACCTTTGACCTCGTGACCCCAAAATCTAATCAGTTCATCGGCTCTGCAAGATACATACATGACCAAAGTTTGGCAGGTATCCATCAATCGGTTCTTCAGATAACGCGATCACGAGAACGGGACGTACGGACGGACGGACGTACGGACGTACGGACGTACGGACGGACGGACGGACAACCAGAAAACATAATGCCTCCGGCTACTTCGTAACGGAGGCATAATTATCAAAACAAGAGATAACATAAGGAATAACCTGGCTTTTCTAATTTTTTATGTTGTATTATTATTCCAAACGGTCTAACAAATATATGTAGTGAAAAAGAATGCTCAAATAGCAATAATGTATGATTTATGGGCAAAAATGTGAATTTTATGACCTTAATTGCATAAATTACCATAAATATGTAAATGAGTGAATTTTTCAAAAAATTGAAATTACCATAGTATTCTATACACTTCACTTGACATGTATGCAAATTTTCGCGGCGATCGGCCGTCAAACGGCCGAGATCTTAAGGGGGGGTCAAATTGACCCCCCCCCCCCCAGTAAAAACCTGGTCTGAAATAGCCCAGTTAAAATAGGGTTAAACATTACCCTCCAAAATATTACTGGGCAGGGCCGAGGGAGTTTGTCCTCTTACGTTACCGAATACATCATATGTAATTACCTCCTATTCCTGGTGTTGAGGTTGTGCCGGCACTTAGTGTCAAGCCCCCTGTTGGGGCTGAGGCTGTCATTGTGCCTAACTTCAGACCAGTGGACGCTGCTGCTGGTGAGAGATAAGGTGACAAGAAATCCTCAAGAAATATATATATATATATATATATATATATATATATATATTTATGTACAGTAAAACCTGCTTTTCAGCGAACAACTGCAAAATGCAAGATTGTTGAAAATCCTAATTTAATCACTTAGAGAGTAAGAACCATACCTTTAGGTAATATGGAACGGGTAACTACATTGATCATCTTTATTCAGTCATACTTTGTTTTCACAATGTACATGAAAATTGAATTAAATTAAAATAAAGATGTGACACAAAAACCAAGGTATTCTGTGGTTGTGAACATTCCTGTGTAACCACACAATAGGCAGGGTGTAAGGAAGGAAATTACATATTTACGAACGTGACATAAGAGCTTTACAAAGACAAAATAAACATGCATATTATAGTGATTATCTACAGCATTTCTCCAAATTATAACTGATAATATCGTTAACATTAGACAATATTACTACCAGGTCTGGCCTAATGCCCCTAGACTTTCATTGAGATATGTCAAAAAAGAACTTTTAAACACCAAACATTACTACCTATTATGACTTTTGCATTCCTAACTCATCTTTTAGTGCCTCTACATTTCGCTATGCAAGCTACCTTACACAGAATAGAACTCAATGGTTTTACCTGTGCTTTGAGGCGTAGCTGTCGGTGCTGCAAATCCTCCGAGTTTGATCCCTCCGCCAAGACCTCCGGCCAGACCCCCCGCTGCAGGAGTGGAAGTGGCCGTCTGATTGGGTTGAGCTATGGCAGCTGGAAGAATGCATCGTATAAAAAAAGGGGTAAACAAATTATAATGCTAATAGTATTTAAAGTACCCAGGGAGAAATATGCCTCTTATCATGAATAATTTAAGATTGTAAGGAAACTTTGGATATTACAACTAAAGTAGATATTCATTGATTTTAAAAAATAACTTTATTTTCATTATTGCAAATTTGAAACTTTGAATCGACAAGGTTATCAAAAGTCATTGCTTGGAAACATTCGAAGGAATGATTATTATCAATTACAAAACGCTCAAATACAGCCCCGGCAAAGCACCTGAAGAGCTCTTCAAACGCTGGTGAGATGTGTGAGATCACAGTATGGACATGACTTGCACAAGCAGACGATGCCCCATGACATCTCACACATTTTCAGTGCCTGTGTTTTCATCTTCTCTTGAGTTCTTTCTCTTACTTCACTACCGTCAGGCTAAATGTATAATCAATTGCCTCACTCTAAACCCAGCGCATGGTTTTATTTTGATGACACATGCAGCGATACAAAAATAAAGTAATCTGTCGCTTGTAAACAAAATAAGACGCCATTGTATATTCAGCTGCACACACCGGGGTATGTTCGGCGTTTCAAGAGGGAACAAATGCCGTCCTTAATATCATTCCGGGGTTTTTCAATTTGAAAGTCTGGTTTCTTTGATTTTTAATTAACCCCTATCCTGTGTATTTACAAGCAAAAGATTTTAGTTATCAGAATCGGGTCATATCCACTTTTGAATGGTGTGACATGCCATTACATTTATATACATTAAACCCATTATAATTTGAGAAATAATAGCTTTGCAATTATGTTCATTCGCTATAGGATTTTTAGTGTTATAAAAACCATTGGGAAAACAGTTTTTGAAATTTCTTATTCCAATCATAAACATCTTGATAACCAGATAGGCGATCGGCTTGTAACAGTCATGGGATTCCTGACTGACCTAATGGTTTATAATAATGATTGCAGCATGAGCTAAATCCAGAATTTTGTTTAGAATCTGAGGCAAAGACATTCTTACCAGGTATGCACTTACTACATCTGGGGGAAAAGGAGGAAATATAGATAAATGCCTTAGCAAAGGATATTAATCTGTGTCAGGGTTTCAAACCCCGTACCTTGCGATCACATCATTTTGTAAAGACACACTCAAAAATGAACTTTAGGGGGGTGTTTCACAGAGACTAAGATCGACTTCGGGTTCGACTTAACTATGGCAGGCCGTTCATGCTTCTGTTTGCTCTCATCATAATGATCTTTAGATAATATTTCTTCCTTCAACAATAAATTATCAAAAAATGTAAATTTGTGACATTGATTTGTACAAACACTGGCATGAACGGCCTGCCATAGTTAATTCCATCTTAAAGTTGATCTTAGTCTTTGTGAAACATCCCCCCCCCCCTAGACTCATCTAGGCTTGAACTGCATTGCTACCTGTAGAGGCTGTCCCTGCCGAGAGCCCTGCCAACGAGAACCCAGGCTTTGCAACACTGAGGGCAGCTGTTGAAGCTGGGGGAGCTGCTGCGGCACCAGATGGGTTGGCTCCGAAGGCAAAACCTCCTGCCCCAGGCGTGGCTGTAGAGAGTGAGAGATAAGGTAGGAAGAGCGGGAGAGGGAGAGAGTGTAGGAGAGAAAGAGAGGGGGGGGGGAGAGAGGGGGAGTGTGGGATAGAATGTGGGAGGAAGAGAGAGTGTAGGAGAGAGAGAGGAGAGAGAGTGAGAGAGAGAGAGATAAATAGATAGAGAAAGATTGTTAGAGAGAACAAGAGAGAAAAAGGAAGAGAGAGAGAGATATTAGGGGGGAGTAGAATAGAAAGAGAGAGAGAGAGAGAGAGAGTAAGAGAGAGAGAGAGAAAGAGAGACAGGTAGTAGGAGAGAAAGTGAGTGAGAGAGAGAGTGAGAAAGAGAGAGAGCGAAAAAGATAGAGATAGAGAGGTTATAAGCACTGAAATGATTCTTTTGTCTACACATAGTATTATCTGTAATGACAATGACTCATAATCTTTCACACAGCCTTCATGAATATCAAAATAGGCTTAAATAATCAACTGATTTATAAAAAGCATAGATTCAACCATTGTCCTCAGATTGAATGAACATATTCATGATTATCATCATTAGCCTTTATAATTCTGCTGCCAAGCAATGCATCAAAACACATCAAAGAAGGGTGAATGTTAGGCACAAATTAACTCTAAAGGTATTGCTGAGCATTGCATTATCGAACATCGTTGGATAGTACTTGAAACTATTGCATTCTTTTTAATGAAAAATCGGGTGATAGTCTTAGTAAATGAATCACATGTGACTGGGTTTGACCTATCACTTGATTATGATCTAGGAGTGAGCTTAGAAAAACAAGAAAGAAAGAAAAAATTATTGTTAATTATAAAATTCTCCTTGTATCTCACTAAGTGTAATAATAATGATAATAATACACAATATTTATTAGGCGCTTAATACTGGTGTCTCTAAGCGCACCATAGTCTGACTAAAAAATTATTTACCAAAACTTATAATAAACACACAGCACATACATCTGTTCTTTATTCAATAAATCATGCATATATATAATAATAAAAATAAGAGTGAGATCAAACATCAATGAGGTCTAATATTCTAAAGAGCATCCCCCCCCCCCCCAATTGTTTTACAACATTTACAGAGAGATATGATTATTTTTGGAATTGATCCTGAAAAGCAACTCTGCTTTTGTTCCCCCGGAACATTCCGAATTTTTAGGTCCTAAAAACCCAGAAAATATGAATATTCTGGATTATTTGGAAGGGTTGGCATGTATGTCAACATACTGGTTCATCATCTTTACTCACTATTTCCCCTATGCTATTTCCTTCTCCTTCTTAATAATAAATAATAATAATAACAACATTTATAAAGCGCAACATATCCATCTGTAGAGATGCTCAAGGCGCATACAAATAATTCAAATTAATATTCAACATACTGAAGATTAAAGAAATATTAAAAGTTAAGTTACATTAATGCATTTATTCCTTTGAATTTTTTAATAATTTACATTATTTTGTATTCACACATTATTTAAACTGGAACGTGGAAAAATAAAATAAATGAAATCATATGTATAATACCTAATGAAAAGCCTGTAGAGGGTTGCTGAGACTGTGCGGATACTGGTGCAGTCGCACCGAACGGAAACCCTGATGCGGCAGTAGCAGGTTTAGCTGTGGATGCTTTCATGCAGGCAAATGTAAAAGAAAAGAAAGAAAAACATGCAAAGAAATATACATGCAAGTATGCAACTTTGAATACATCCAAGTACTGTTAGATTCTTTGGTCATCATCCCCTCCCCCCTCCCCCCTTTGTCTCTTACTTGTTTTTCTCTCTATGTATGTATTCATGTCTTGTATTTGATAATGTACATCGTTTTGGTTTTTATAATGTGCATTATTTTATATTTTATAATGTACATTGTTTTCTATTTTACAATGTACATGGTTTTGTATTTCATAATGTACATTGTTTTGTATTTCATAACGTACACAGTTTTGTGTATTATAATGTACATTATTTTGCATTTCATAATGTATCGGTACATTGTTTTGTATTTTATAATATACATTGTTCTGTGTTTTGTAATGTGCATTGTTTAGCATTTCATAATGTACATTGCTTCGTATTTTATAATATACATTGTTCGGTATTTTACAATGTTCATTGTTGTGAAGTTACATGTTTTTAAACTGGAATGTGGAAAAATAAATGAAATGAAATGAATTGTATAATACCTAATGAAAGGCCTGTAACTGGTTGCTGAGGCTGTGTCGATGCTGGTGCAGTACCGCCAAATCCTGTTAGATCACGCAAAAAAAAATTATACTATCATTTAAAGGGAAATCCAACCCAAATAGACAACTACTCTAAACAAAAGCAGACAAATTAGAGAAGCTAACTGATGAATGTTTCAATTAGATCTGACTAAATGTAAGAAAGTTATGAATTTTTAAAAGTTATAATCACTATACGTATGGGCACTTCAAATTGGCTGAAGTGGTAATGTCAATGTGATGCCGGACTACTTTCCCATATGTTCCAACATATAGAATGACTAAAATTCAAATTTTTCAAAAGTTCATGGCTCAGGAGGGTCTATTCTTTTTAGATAACCGATAATAATATGCTTTCTATAATATATTTTTAGTAGTGCCCCAAGAGAGAAGGAACTGACAAGAAAAACAGAAATTAGTGATATTTTTGTACATGGGAGAGTTATCGACGTCCTATGTCACAAACCACTGACCAAACTACCAATTTGAGATTCACATAGACTTAGTGATCTCATATTTCAAACATTCATAACTTTAATGCTAAATATATTACTCATTGCGGATGTAGTATCGAAAAATAATATCGCTAGTGATATTCGTTTGTCTGGCAATGTGGTCAATAAGGGATCTAAAAGATCACGACGTTTCGTGCGCCGCTGCAACACTTCGTCAGGTGACAAAAACTAATGTAAGCAAGCGTGTTTTATACTCTACGGGAGGACCGGCGCAGCGGTCAATAATTTGATCGATAATTCATAACTTCTTTACTATTTGTCCGATTCATTTCAAACTTTTGGTATTCTGCTTTCATACAAATCAACTATATTACAAGGGTTGAATTGCCCTTAAAAAATTAAACCAAATCTTAGCTCTATGATTTCAAACTTATTTTGAAGTATCTACTGTAACTCGATTTTTGCTTTTTAATAAATAAAATCAGAAAGAAAAGAATGTTTCTGTTTGGAAGTCCATGTAAGAAAGAATCCTGTGTGGTTCAGGGGTAAGTCTCAGGTCTGTGAAGCACAAGGTACAGGGTTCAAATCCCTGATGCCACACTAATGTCCTTTGACAAGACATTAATCTACATTTGCCACACTTGACCCAGGTGAGGTGAATGGGTACCTGATAGAAATTAATGCTAAAGCGCCGCAATGGCAGCCATGCTAAAGCCGGGGTAATAATTTCCAAAGCTCTTTGGAAGCGCACAAGAGACATTATAATGTGATATGCGCAATACAAGAACAGGGGGGTGTTTCACAAAGATCCTAAGAAGAACTTAACTCTAAGTTGGACTTAAAAATTATGGAAAGCCGTTAGCGACTTTGAAAATATTTTGTAAAAGTTATTTTGAAAGGCATAAAATGTTGATTCAAATCATTCATATTTTCTATCATCGAGGAGATTTCATGTTCTTGATGTGGAAGTTATAAAAAATTCTAAAATACTTGAATTTCTGCTTTTGAATGTATTTCATTTTAAGGCTTCAATGGCTGTCCATAATTTTTTAGTCTAACTTAGCGTTAAGTTCTACTTAGGATCTTTGTGAAACACCCCCCCCCCCCCGATCATTATTATTATTATTGTTATTTGTAGTCTGATAACTTATCCACTACACCAAAGCACCTCTACCATCACATGATTTTGTTAAAACACACTAAGGTATAAAAACATCACAATCATCAAGGCTTGTAATGCTTGTTACCTGCAGAGGCTGTCCCCATAGTTGAGAACCCAGACGGCTTTGCAACATTGAGGGCAGCTGTTGAAGCAGGGGTAGCTGCTGCGGTTCCAAAGGCAAAGCCTCCCGTGGCTGTGGCTGTGGCTGTAGGAGCAGTTGGCTGCTTAGGGGCTTCCCCGAACTTGAATCCTCCTGCGGCCCCGCCCCCTGTGAAGAGAGAAAGATTGAGTGAGAGAGAAAAAGAGAGTGAGAGAAAGAGAGTGAGAGAAAGAGAGGAAGAGGGAGAGAGAGGGAGGGAGAAAAAGATAGGGGAGAGAGAGAGAGAGAGAGAGAGACAGAGTGGGAGAGAGGGATAGAGAGTGGGAGAAAGAGGGAGAGTAAAAGCATTGTAATTAGTCTATTCCACACAGGTATAGTATTATTTTTGTTCACTGAGGTCTGTGTTATAAGATACAGAAATGTGAAGTGTATTTATACTTCCCATTATCTTTTTTTTCAAGCTGCGGTTTTGCTGTGTCATACCTGAATGTGCCTTAAGATTTATTCCTTCGACAGAAATTGTGCACTAATAATGGCTGCCAAATTCAAAGCCATTAAAAATGTCCATATCTTTTGGATGTAATGTACTACTAAATCAGAATGAGGGCATGGCCTGTTACTGTTGTTGTACCATGTTCTTACCTGCAGCCGTATTGCTATTAAACGAGAAAGAGGACGTAGCCTGTGCCTGCTGCGGTTGGGAAGGGGTAGCGCCAAAGCTGAAGCCCCCTGGCGCTGTGGCAGGCTGGCTGGTCTGGGGCTGCCCAAAGCCAAATGCACCACTGGAGACAGATCCTGAGCGATAACAATGAATGGAAGAGTGAGAAAAAGAAAAGGAGGAGGAGGAAGAGGAGGAGGAGAGAGGAGGAGGAGGAGGAGGAGGAGGAGGAGGAGGAGGAGGAGGAAGAGAAGAAGAAGAAGAAGAAGAAGAAGAAGAAGAAGAAGAAGAAGAGGAAGAGGAAGAGGAAGAAGAAGAAGAAGGGGAAGGAGAAGGAGAAGGAGAAGAAGGAGGATGAAAAAAGGAGAAGGAGAAAAAGGAGGAGGAAATAGAGGAGGAGAAGAAGAAGAAGGAGAAGAAGGAGAAGAAGGAGAAGGAGAAAAAGGAGGAGGAAGAAGAAAAAAGAAGAAGAAGAAGACAAAGAAAAATAAAAGAATAATAATAATAAACATTTGTACTGCACACGTATATCCCAGGGGATGCTCAAGGTACCTGTAAAGTAGGAGTATTCAACTGCCCTTAGCTCCTTAAACAATCAAGGAATAAATTCCTAACAGGTACCCATTTACTACACCTAGGTGGAAGGTGGCATATGTAGATTAATGTGTTGCCAAAGGACATTAGTGACATGTTGCGACTTAAACCGCTAACCATGCGATCCAAAGAAAAGTGACATATCCACTAGACTAGACACCTCAACTATCAGCTTATTCCAAAAACTCCAGACATGAATACTATGATCTCAAAGTTACATATTTAAGAAAATAAGCCTTAAAAACTATATTTAACCAACCTGAAGAAAAATATCGATACATTAAGACACCCAAACAAACATCCGCCCCCCACCCCTCTGTAAAACTGCAACACAATGAAACTTTCAAAATTCGAGCCCTGTTTCATTATTAACAACAAATTATAAATTTCTAAGACAATTTTGCTCTCGGCCAATGGAATGTCACAATTTCAGTTACTTATAACAGTTATTGTTGACAAGTTTTATAAAAGAGGGCCACATTTTTTTTCTTCATCCAAATAATCATGCACAATAATATACATCTAGTTCTCAATGTATTCTCCTGTCACATCTATATGAAAAAGAAAAGTGTTGCCAATTTGATGAAGAAACACTAATCAATACCTGGAGCTTGAGCTGGGGCTGTTCCACCAAACGCGAATCCTCCCCCTGGCTGGGCAGTTGGTGCTTGGCTTCCAAACAGTCCCGTGGTAGCGGGCGCTCCCTGGGCCGTAGGCTGCTTTCCAAACATGGCAAAGATATTTCTGCTACCTTCAATACAAGATCTGTACACGAAAGCGAGGAAACAAGAATCAACACATTGCAATCATAATATATTATTAACAGGAGCACACAAATGACATTTTCTATAGGAATTAAAGACCATTCAAGGGAAACAGAAAAAGCAGCCATTGAAGACAAGTAGCCTTTCTAGACAGGTTCTACAACACATTTCTTTCTCAAGGGAGACAAAATACTTGCGGATTGAAAGTAAGAATTGGACGATACTTATTTTTGGGGACGTATCTGCTCGACAAATACAACATAACATAGGTTATGTTATATTTGTCTTACATTTTATAGTATTACATTACATTATTTTAATGTTAGAATAAAAAGAAATTGTGTAAAAGCCCCTTCTCCTCCTGATTTTACACAGTCTTTGCACATTCGTGAGCTCAGCCATAACGGTGCGGTCGCAATGTGCTATTTTTCTATGGCGCGCCATTTCCCCAATAATTTAGATATATATCGCCGATAAACACTGTTTATCGCCAATAAACACTGTTTATCGCCGATAAACACTGTATGTCGAGCGATAAACTATTTTAATCGACTGATAAACAGTGATATTGGGGAAAAACTTTTTATTACTCGACAAACACAGTTCATCTTGATAAATACTGTTTATCGCTGATAAACAGACTTTATCCAGATAAACACTGTTTATCAAGTGACAAACATAGTTTTTTCAATATACATTGTTTTTCAGTCGAAAATGGTGTTTATTTAATAGTCAATAAACATAGTTTATCAGCGATATACACTGTACACTGTTTACACGGCGATATTAGTGTTCATCTGAATTGTTGGACAAATGGTGCGCCATAGCGTGTGCGTGTACGTACATGTATATAAATGTATGAAGGCGCTGCGTGGGCCAATTATTTTAACACGTACGTAACATTAGAAAATAAAGGTACAGAGTTAAGAACGATGGACCAAATCGGCAGAAGTCTTGCTAGAATTACCAGAAATTGAGGTAAAATTCATAAACAAAACTGGTAAATTTTATTTGTTTGTTATTTGTCATCAATATTGAGTGGTTAATAGGTATGATAACAGTTTAGTACGGTAGCTGAAGCACGTTTTATAAAATGTTGTGTTAATGTGCTGGTGGACATGCAGTTTGCCTGTTTTACTACACAGCCGGGATAGTGATGGGCCTAATGTGTGCTCCGTCCCACACATAGGAGCATCACTATCCTGGCTGTGTGGTAAAAGCTGTGCTTTTGATTCTCAACATTTAAAACACCACTGTACAAAAAATTCAACTGATTTCACTCAAAATCGGTACTTTAGTGACAATTGATGACACCTACAGTAAATAGCAGTAAAATACATTTGTTTTCTTTTAACCTACTGATGTTAAAAAGAATAATTTAAAAATTCAAATTGTAAGTCTAGTGTCAAACTTTGCTCAGAGTAAAGGAGGAGGTAATTGACCAGCTTCAGTTTTCGGCCGATTGGTTGGATGCATGGTAAAATCCCTTTAAAATACATTGCATAATAGCATATCACATATCCCACACATACCATACCATGCCAGAGTCACTGAAGAACCACATTTGCAATGAAAAATATATCCTAAAATATCACATTTTAGCAATGTAATCGGCGGTCCAGCTACCCGAATCTGAAAAATCGAGTATCTTACGCGTGTCTTTAAGAAATATATGGGTACCATAAAATGAGCTTTATTTCAAGTATTTTTCAGATTAAGAGCCTGATTTTGTGCTAGTCACAAGCTTAAAAGTATCTCACCGCATGTATTAAATCAATGCAGCCGGACACGGCAACGCACATACATGTATGATATCTCTGTCTAATTCAGATCCCAATTACCGATCACCGCAGTACTAGTTTTCGGCCTGGCGAGCTCCGGGGAACTCCGGCGTGGGATACCTGCTCCGCCCGCTAGTACTATAGATCAGCGCGGAAACGCACGGCGTGCGCACGCGCTTCCTATTGACTTTGTACATGCGGCCGAAAACTGGTTCGCTATGCCGATAACTGACTCCGAAATAGTGAAAATTGAAATGAATATTGTCATGGCAATTTGTGATTTTTTTCTGGGATTCTTTATTTGTTTAAATAATAATATTTGCTTCATGATTTGAACAAGAAATGATAATAAATAGGAAGGAAAGGGTCCAAAAAATAGGGTTTTGTCTTAAGCCGCCGAAAACCCCCTACTTTACTCTACAGCTGCATCGACATGAGTTTATGCGATATTGTGTGGTGTGTGTATTTGTGTATGGGTCTAAACAATACATACCTTCCTCACAGCAAGCATTCAGTGCTAGAGGTCAATACGCATTAGCATTGACTCTCTTAGACAGAAATAACCGTCTGATTTGGGTCATTTCTTTAATAAAACTGACATTTGTTGACATTCCCCAATACAGCGGTAACCCAGAGATCTCGTACCGTGGGGGTAATCGAGGGCACAGTGGAACATTTTTTCGTTTCCGACATTCCTCCCCCGATTTTCTTTATTTAGATCTAATTTTCTGATTTCTAAATCAGATGTAAAATAGGTATAGCATAAGACCGCCAAACTTCGGACGTTGCCAAACTTCGGACAAAATTTACTTCAACGGCTCGAACGCAAAATATGAGCCTAGCTCAGGCGGGTAACTAGCATGCATTTGATACTACTACTAACCTATATCGTTAGTACAGAAAGTTAGGGCAGGTTGCCGTCTGCAAAACTCACGAAAAACATCGAATTCAGAGACAGATTTCAGGTTACCTAGATTTTTACAGTTCCTTAACAGGGGAGTTAAGGTGTAGAGCCCCCAATATAATGATTATAAACAAATCCTTGGCATATTTCAGGTGGTTTCTATCAAAATTATGGGAGCTTATGAGATACTTTTTCACTTTATCGCGAGAATTTTCTAATGGCGGCCGTTACCACGGACCTAGGGGTACTATACAGGTTCCCCTACCAGAAGATGGCGCTCTTCCAAGCTTCGGACAGGCAACATTGAGTGTCATTTTGACTACGAAAAAAATAGCGCTTTCATCAGATTTTAGCACCAAAATATTGCGTGAGTGTTGTGAAAAGCAATTTTCTGATAGTTCTAGCTAACATAAATCTACCCAAAACGAGAAAATAATACTTTTTTCATGAAATCAACGCAGTCAAACTTACCCGTCGTACGATTTTTGATCCGGTTTCCAAACCTCCGATGAATGCGCACTTTAGCGCACACGCTGTACGTGCGATATACGTGCGCTATGCACTTTACGTGCGCTACACATGAACGTCCGAAGCTTGGCAAGTGCGTCCGAAGCTTGGCATGAAAAATGATTCGGCGGGTAAGTAAATAATTCAAGTTTTCCATTTCCTTTACTAATTTTCTTTTCATGACATACATAAACAGTATTTGCACAATAATAATATTTGATCTTTCAATAATTAAAAAAGAATTTAATGTTTTCCCCCGTTTTGTCTTAAGTGTCCGAAGTTTGGCGGTCTTACTCTAAGTAGTGTTTTCCTATTTACACTACGTATTTTTGATTGAAATCTTATAAAAATATGAAATTTTTAGACTTACTTATACGAATTGTCCCATTTTCGTCAGAGAACTGTGAAACCGTACGTTCATGCACTCAAACAAAGAGCTATATGACCCGGCAGCAGATATATTTCCGGGTCAACCTACCAAAACATAGCCAATCGCCAATCAGAGCACTTGTTTCGTGGGTCAAGCCGGGCTGACTTGTACGTAGCTACGGTAGCTATTGGACGTTCGCAAAGAAAAAATTAATATTCATCAACTAAAACCAAGATGGCTGACAACGACTACGAGACTTTCTCGGATTAGACTCTAGACCTAATCATTAATTTTGGTGCTGAATAAGCAAGCTATCGTAAGTCAACGTATATATTTAAGTTTTCGTTATTGTATAGATAACGGGGGCTGTAGAATGGCAGCAAAATTAGATTTGATGAAGACGTAAAAAGAGAAAAACCTCGGAGCATTTCGTTCATCTCTGTTCGGTCACTCTACCCTCACGGTCCCCATAGGCCGTACTTCAGTCTTTATAATCGGAGGTCTAGTGTAGCCAGACGTAGTCTCAGTGGAAAAACCGACGATTAGAGGGACTGAAGTTTTCGGTCTATGACTCTCTAGATCTATGCTTTGCTGGAGTGCTCCGTCCGTGTTTACAGAGTCGAAGACGATCCTCATTAAAAATGTATGCGGACGATCCTTATTCTCGGACCAGCGCCCCTACTGTTTAATGGAAGTTGCTCAAAATGTTATAATCTACACATGGGAGAATCCCGTAATAGTGATAATTATGGAATAAGAGTTAGATGTAGGCTATGAAATCTCAGAAAACCACAGCAGTCACTCTAGGGCCCAAGTTAAGGCTACACAACAATGAACGAGTGGGAATGAAATGACGTGACTGGGATGAGACCGACGACCAAACTGTCCATTACTGCACTGCGAACACCCAATATCGACGGGAATACCAAATTACAAATGATTGTTCGTCAATGAAAAGTTTGAGGTATATAATAAACATCACTCAAAGACAATCAAACACAATTCTTTATGTATAGATCTATTCACCTTATTTTTCTTCAAATGCGGATTTATTATCTGGCGCCTGTTCTGTCGCCCTCTTGCGTCATCAGTTGTATTATATCCACAAACTCGGCTTTTTTTTTTCTTCTTGTACACTGTAAAAAAGAATTTGTTCATTGGTAATTTTTACATATTTTTTCCATGTAGAATTTACTTGAAAACATTAGTTTTGCCACTTACACACTAAATTTAAGTCTTGCTAACTCAAACTTTCAATTTAGTAGAACATACGTGGAATATTTAAGTAAAATCAAATACATAAGAACTTTAAGTAATTTCAGCTTATATTAATTTAGTAATTTTAACTCAAAATCAGAAATTATACGCATTACTCAAACAATTTATGTTGATTATTCTTATCTTTTTAAAGTAAGGACCGATGCAGTGCGTAATAGAAATATTTACATAATTTATGAATATTCATTAAGACCAAATTAAACTCTTTTTTAAATAAAACAATTCTTTTTTGTGGTTGAATGAAAATTTAAGGACTTTAAAACATTTACTAATTCATTTAACATGGCTAAGCAAAGACAAGACAATTTTTAATTGTTACCCATTTCAAAACAAATAAAAACTTGATATTTCAGGAAATTGTCAACCAATTTTCCTTTTAAGATGCTACGATCAAGTACATATAAAATTGGGAGCCTTTCAATATGTGTCGAATTGAAGCGTATGTGATTAGTGATTAATCTTAAATAGAAATAGTGAATGATTAATTGATGTTACTTGTTAGATTAGATGGGTACCAAATCGTGCAATATGTAATCCTATCATAGCTTTTTTTTAATTATCTAAAATGATTACAATACTTAAATTATTTACGTTAATGTAACTCGGTTTAACTGAGTAAAAATTTATTCAGCAAAATAAGTAAATTCTACTTAAAATGCCGTAGGTAATATTTACTTAGTAAAAATAAGGCAATTCTTTTCCTCAATTTGATTGAGTTATTTAGACTATTATTTTTTTACAGTGTAGATCTTCTTCTTCTTCTTCTTCTTCTTCTTCTTTTTTTTTTTCTTCTTCTTCTTCTTCTTCTTCTTCTTCTTCTTCTTCTCCTTCTCCTTCTCCTTCTCCTTCTCCTTCTTCTTCTTCTTCTTCTTCTTCTTCTTCTTCTTCTTCTCCTTCTTCTTCTTCTTCTTCTTCTTCTTCTTCTTCTTCTTCTTCTTCTTCTTCTTCTTCGTTTGGTGCTATAACTTTGACCTAATTATCTGTTATAAATATAATATAATTCAAATCAAACCACGATCCGCAGATTCCGCACACATCACACTGGTCGTCTCCTTTTTTTTTTTCTTTTTTTTTTTCATCTTTTTCGTTTAGTGCTATATGGCTACTAGTCAAATTTGACTAATTTTACCAGTTTTGTCGCATCTCTTTCTTTGATGTAACAAAATTGAATAATATTTGAAGTATACAGCCCAGCGAGTTATTACGTCGTAAGTTTCTCTGTTGATAAACTCTTTGCCGATTGAAGCACATCCCTTTGGTGATTTATTGTTCATTCGTTTCATACTTCAATCAGAACTGAGCTGCTTACAATTTTGTTAATGAATGATGTCAAATTTTCCTATAGTAGGCTACATGTATTGCTTAGCTCTTTTATTTATTCATTTATTTATTTTTTTAATTAAACAACTCTTGCTGAAGGTCAGTCAATCTAAATTTTTGGATGGATTATTGATATCGATTAAAGAGATAATAGTTTGTAAACTTAGATGTAGAATTAAAAGTCTGAAAACTATTTAAGGAAGAAATAAGTGAACAGCAACAAGTTCTGATTATGCATATTGTATCAAAAATGTTGTGGAATCGATCAGAAAAGGTTGATCATCTAGCATATAAGTATTGATGTGTACTGCAAGGTTCTGGAATCATCAAAATCAAGGCCCAGTCTTCGTAAAGTTATAGGCACTGTACACAGAAAGATGTATATGGGACTACGTACACGTGCGCGACACGTGCGTTTATCTCTCACACACCAATAGATAAACTAATTTACCAAATATATCAATTAGTAGGAGGTTTCCCGGCAAAATTTGTATCATCATGTTCTTTCACATGATTGGTAATAAGAGCTTCCATTTCATTTTTTTGAGAGGGGGTGTTTAGTCAAAACATATTCCTTCACATGATTGGTATATTATAAGAGCTTCCATTTCATTTTTCGAGAGGGGGTGTTTAGTCAAAACATATCGTTTCACATGATTGGTAATAAGAGCTTTCATTTCATTTTTTGAGAGGGGAGGGGGGAGGGGTGTTTAGTAAAAACATATTCTTTTATATGATTTTTTTTCCCCCATTTTTTGGACCCTCCAACAGGCCATTTATTGAAAATCAATCTCAAGATAACATATTTGAACACAATGTTCCAATGAATATCATACAATATTTCATAATAAGATATACATAACGAATATCAACCATAATACTGTATATACAGAACATACATGTAGATAAGGGAAAGAAAAACAAAAATTAAATAATAATTCAACATCATGACTGAAAATGATGTGGGAAATTCAATATACTCCTATTAAAGGATCAAAATCCTCTCAAAATGTATCCATTTTTTATCGAATTTGTCAGTTTTGTTAGCAAATATACTAACTTGCCTCTCATTTGTGTAACTATTCTTGATATATTGTTTTATTGTCCGAAAGGACGGTACAGACTTTTGTATTCGAGAAAAATATAATTGTTGTTTATTCCAAATTATTATACAGTTTAAAGCATCATTTCTTTTTTCAATGAAACCTAACAAAACATGTATTAAGGACAGTTTTATTCTACAGCGTGTTACAATAGTTAACCAGTCAGTCAAACGACTCCAAATCAATTTGGTCACGTTACAGGAGTAAAAAAAAGTGTACCATATCTTCTTCTTCTCATCCACAAAGGGAACAGTTCTTATTTAAAATTATGTTAATTTTCACAAGATCTTTATTCAAATATAGTATCTTATTCAAAAGTCTGTACTGAAAGTACCGAACTGTTGTATGCGTTGTACAGCGAAACATAACCCTGAAATAATATTGCATATATTTATCATCAAATAATACACCATCTGCATGCCATTTATTACATAATTTATTTAAATGTTCATCCTTTTCTTTTAACATAATTTGATAAATATGTCTACATCCTTTTTCATCTTTCAACAAGCATGAAATATATGCAGGGCACAATAGTCCATTTACCTTCATATTACAACTTTCCAATTGGGACTTGTATTTGCATTTAATTATTTGACAGAGTGCATAATAATGAAGAAACTGTATTTTGATTGAAAACTTTTTTTCACACTCTTCTCTTGCTAAGATGTGTCCTTGATCATCTAATAAATCGTTTAAAAATCGAATACCTTTATCACACCATTATTTTAAAAATATACCCTTTCCTCCAATTTTAATCTCAGAATTATACCAAATAGAAATAGCTTTCCAAAAAGGAGTAGTAGTACATTGAACCTGGCGGACAAAATAAGCTAGTATTTGGAAAAGTTCTTTCCAAAAACAGTTTCTTAGCATAAATGATAATTTAGTGAAATATATATCACCTTTACCCCATTCCAATGATGATAGTGGACGTAAGAAAGCGTACATTAAATGGGTAACGTCTTCACATGAGTTCAACAATATTCTTCTAATCCAGGTCAGTTTCAAAGCTCTAGAAAATTGTACAAAATCAA